TTCCAATGAGGCACATGATCCCTGCACAGATCATCCCAGACAGCCGGATGCTTTCCCAGTCGTAGTAGAAGGGACTGTCTTTATCAAAAAGGTCATTGGCTTCTAAGGCTGGCAGGCCTGCTAGCAGTAGAACCCATGTCACTTTTTCCATGTCTCAACTCAGGCCAGAGCAGGGGCTGAAGGTACAGTGCAGAGGGCAGGTCTGGCAAGGCCACAAGGTCTGTTAGTGAGACTTTTAAGCAGCTTCTGAACAAGTACAATTTACCACCCCTCTGTCACTTTATTATACCATGGTTTGCATATTGCTGTTTTGCTGGAATGGTAGGCCACCAGTATTTAAAATACTATCATTGTCATCCATGGTGAAGGTCTCATTGGAGCTTCCAGTCTAAATTAGACCAGGAAAAAATGTCCAGTGATTTATTTCCAAAAAATAGCCAAAGAAAATCTATTATTGTCGGGGGGTGGGGGGGGGTGTGTAAAAACCAAAACCAGTGTGGTTTGTAAACTTTCACTCAAATTAAATAGATTTTTAAAAAGAAAGAAATTTGTTTCATAATTTAAAAGAAATGAAAATCCTATGGATCATATCAGAGTATTGTTCAAAACAGCACTGGAAGAGGAACCACCTGGTTTGGAAGGTACTATACCATTTTTTCACAAAGGCACAAGCGTGACAACAGTTGTGAAATGCATAGGACCTAGCAGTGATTTTTTTCCAATGATTTATTCATTGCAAATACCTTTTTTTATGAAGTTCGTATACATTGTGTTTGTATACACTGATCTTCATTCACATTGTGTTTCATAAAATTATTCTCACTCCTTAATTTTAGAAAATTAATCATCATTCGACTATACCCACATTTCCATGTTTTCAGGCTCCTGCTGGATCTTTCCCATTTCCTTCACTTCCTTCCTCTACCCACCAAATTGTGTAACCCTATGATTTCACCCCTACCCATTGGTATTTGAGAAGGATAAAACCAATCAAATAGGAAAATGACAACCTCTTCAACAAATGGTGCTTGGTGCTGGCAAAACTGGACTGCTTCCCACAAAAAGCTGAAATAGGATCCACATTTTACACTATACACAAAAATCGCAGGTTTGCATGATTTTAATATATAAAGAGTTCATTAACTTGAGCCTGGCAAAATATATGTGAGAGATGTTAACAAAAGCTGACTGTAAGAACACAGGGGGAGCTTGGTCTGGCATGACTTATAAAACTATAGAGAAACTGGTGCATTAACAGGAACTGTTTCAGAGCAGAGCAGAGAGGACTGGGGCTGCCCCATCACCTGAAAAACATTTGGCATCAACCATTCGATGTTCTGCACAGGGACCCTGGCTCTAAGCTCTGACCCTCATTTACTGTGTGATCTTATCAAGTCATTTAATTTCTTTAGGTCAACAGAGGGGGGGAAGAGAGATAATGTCACCAACTTCTCATAAGAAACAATAAAATGAAATGTCTATTTTGAAGATGTTCAAAAAACTAAGCGAGGACAAAGAATTGTTGTGACTACATGTAGAGACTACATGTTTATCATTTTGTTTGTTTTTAAACAGGGATCCATTTTCAATGATTTCCTGTGCCTGGCATTTTGCCCTAACTGCACCCTTTGTCAACTCAAGCGAGATATTGATAAAAGAAAAGCAATGAATGCCTTCTAAAGAGAGCCTGGTAAGTTGGGGAATCTTGGCTGGTCAGTGCATATCAAAATAAGTTCTTAAAGGATCCTTCATGCCATTGGAGGCATCTCACAGACATCTGAGAGGTCTCTTAGCAAATGACCAGCTAGCCAATCAGTTGCTAATCAGCTTCCCAGGACATGGATTGAAAGGACTACACCCTGGTTGGGTCGAAAAAATTCTGTGGCTTGTTCAGATGTCTGCCATTGGTAGAGTGACTGCCTGCATGAAGTTCTGATATCATATTTGTCTTAACTTCACCATAATTATAGAAGAGTAAAGATTTTCTGTAATAAGATACTAATTTCCCTAATGCATGTGGGAGGTACATGTCATAAACAGTAATCCACTTGGACGCTATTTTAAGTGTGGTTGCCTGGGATACTTGATTGTTTTTTTCCTGTCAAAACAGTGACATTGAGATAATAATTCATTCTCTGAGCAGGTGGGGGACTACTTTAGACTCTAAATTTATTGACCCTGAAGTGTGGACAATATACTCCATTATCCACCATTCTCAAAGCTTACTCAGTGCTTGCTTTTAGTCTTACTCTCAGATCCCATAAAGCTGTACTCAATGTTTAGTTTTCACATTGAAGTGGCTACACCAATACACCAAACCCACTTCCAGAGGCAGGCTATTCCAATTCATGGTGACTCCATGTGTTAATGAGTAGAACTGAGCTCCTTCCTTGACTATAATCTTCATGGAAATAGATCTCCAGGTTTCTAGTCCATGGGACTACTTTGAAGACTTTAATTGCAACATTTCTGTTAGTGCCAAGCATAAATTGCTTACCCCAGGCCTGTGCTCTGTAAAACCCTGACCTCCCAAAAGGTCTTTGAGAGTGTTGGTTATATTAGTTCAAGCTCTCCCTCACTACGCTGTTTTGCCTTACAGCACACAAAATAATATCCTCTCATGCATCATGCTTCAGTGTATTACATTTTACTCTCACATAGTATATTCCTGTATTTGTCTCCCAATTACTTAAATAGCTTCCCTTAATGATGGAAGTGTTTGAGTTGTCTTTCAGAGTCAAGAATGTCAGGTTTTCATACAGTTCTTCTTCCTCCCTGTACAGTGCCTCACGAGAATTGACTATTATACTTCTTCTCAAGTAATGATATTTCTGTAAAAGCCTGTGCTGCCAGCTTCACTCAGAATTCTATAGCAAAGTAGCACAGAGAAAATTGGAAAGCTGTGTCTTCTCATCAGTGAAAGAGATGGATTTTGATTCCTTGTCTTTTGGAGACACTGCAGGAGGTTTATGAGTCTTTGACACTTGGTAACAGATGTCAACCCTGGAAACCTAACTAATGTTCCATTACATCACTCCCCCAAAAAAATCACAAACTCACTACTGCGAAGTTGGTTCATACTCATAGTGAGTCACCAATGAGGTTCCAAGTCTTTAACTCTTAACAGGAGGAAATTCCCGAAGAATAGCTAGTGAATTCAAAGTGAAGGCTAGAGGCCTTTTCGTTAGTAGCTCAATATACTAC